TATGCATGCAACGGGACGTGGGCGTGCAACAGGACATGGATGTGCAACGGGACGCAGACATGCAACGGGACGTGGACGTGCAACGGGACGTGGATGTGCAACGGGACGTGGACGTGCAACAAGGTGTGGGCGTGCAAAGGGACACGGACGTGCAACGGGACTTGGATGTGCAACGGGACGTGGGCGTGCAACGGGACATGGATGTGCAACAGGATGTGGATGTGCAACAGGACTTGGATGCGCAACGGGACGTATACATGCAACAGGACGTGGGCGTGCAACGGGACTTGGATGTGCAACGGGACGTGGATGTGCAACAAGGTGTGGGTGTGCAAAGGGACCCGGACGTGCAACAAGATGTGGACGTGCAACAGGACCTATGCATGCAACGGGACTTGGATGTGCAACAGGACGTGGATGTGCAAAGGGACGTGGACGTGCAACAAGACCCGGATGTGCAACGAGATGTGGCCGTGCAAGGAGACGTGGACGTGCAACGGGACGTGGACGTGCAACGGGACATGGATGTGCAACAGGCCACGGACGTGCAAAAGGACATGGACGTGCAACGGGACACAGATGTGCAATGGGATATGGACGTGCAACAGGACGTGAGCGTGCAAAAGCATCTGCAGCAGGACATGGGCGTGCAACAGGACGTGGACGTGCAACGGGACATGGGCGTGCAACGGGACATGGGCGTCCAAGAGGACGTGGGCGTGCAACAGGACGTGGACATGCAACAGGATGTGGGCGTGCAATGGGACGTGGGCGTGCAACGGGACATGCAACGGGATTTGCAACAGGACAGGGGTGTGCAACGGGAGACGAGTGTGCAAGAGGAGATGGGTGTGCAACAGGGCGCGCAACAGGACAGGGACGTGCAATGGGACATGAGTGTGCAACAGGAGCTGGAAATGCAACGGGACACGGGTGTGCAACGGGGCGTGCAACGGGACGAGGGCGTGCAACGGGGCGCGCAAGAGGGTGTGCAAGAGCCCGTGAGCGTGCAAGGGGACGTGGGCGTGCGAGGGGGGGGGCAGCAGGACGCGAGCGTGTGACGGGGGCGTGCAACGGGACGCGGGCGT